ACGGACGGTGTACGCATGGGGATCGGCGGTTGTAATCTTCGTGGTTCTGATGATCGTCACTCCCACGATCCCTCAATCTCAGGCTTACCACGATTTCGCAGATCAACGAACCTTCTTCGGTAACCTCACACTTCTCTCATCTTCCTCTTCGTAATCTCTTTGATTTTAGGGTTTATCCTTAGAATCCACGATCTATCTCAGGGATTCCAAGTGCTCTGAACGTCATCTCCAACTTCCCTTTCCTCATCATCGGCCTTGTCGGTCTCGTACTCTGCTTTTACCCAGATGATTACTTCAGATTTAGGCGCGTAATTTATCTACTTCTCCATTTCTCTCTCTCTGTGTGTTCTTCTTAGTGAACAAACAAAATCAGAATCAAATTAGTTAAATCTGTGTGTGTATCGAACAGTTTGCGAGGTGAGAAATTGGGATGGACTTGCTTTTTCGTCGGTGTTACTGCTGTTGCGTTTGGATCTTCTTACTATCATCTCCATCCAGACGATGCACGACTCGTCTGGGATCGACTTCCCGTACGCTCTCTCACTCTCTTTTCTCTCGCTGAGACTTTTTGATTTATCTTGTTTTTGATCACTGGTTTTGCTTTGGTTTTCTGATTTAGATGACTATTGCTTTCACATCAATCATGGCAATATTTGTAATCGAGAGGATTGATGAGCACAAGGGTACTTACTCCATTGTCCCTTTGCTTCTCGCTGGCCTTGTTAGCATTTTGTATTGGAGGCAAGTCGAATGGGTTTTTTAATGATACAATTTCAGTAACAGTCTTGAGTTAGTAACTTGTCTCATGAGGATGTAATAATTGCAGGTTTTTCGATGATCTTCGTCCGTATGCTTTAGTCCAGTTTGTTCCCTGCATTGTTATTCCGTTGATGGCTATTCTATTGCCTCCAATGTATACGCATTCGACGTATTGGCTATGGGCTGCAGGTTAGTGCTCATTGTTGAGTTGTTATCTTCAGTTTGCCTTTTTTTTTGCATCTGAAGCTTCATAGCTTTCATTAAATCTCGTTCTTATTCTAGATTTAAATTTGTTCAAACTGCAGGATTTTATCTCTTAGCCAAGGTGGAAGAAGCTGCAGATAAGCCGATATATAGCTGGACGCATCATATTATTAGTGGGCATTCTATAAAGCATTTGTGCGCCGCTATGGTCCCTGTCTTCCTTACTCTCATGCTTGCAAAAAGAACCGTTCAAACCGAGAGGTACATTCTCATATACATATGAAATGACCCGACATGACATAACTTCTATTCTTGACTCATGCTTTACCCCCTTTTTTCTAAACACAGGATTAGCCTGTATAAGACATGGAAGATATCATGGACAAGGAGTAGAGGGAAGGGATCTGAGGAAGAGAGCTTCGAGTGTACGTACTCCAATGTAGCAGTCGAAGAGACGCGGTAGTTTATGTTATTTACTCTCGTATACTGTAAGATCATCTTTTAACTTTGATCTCTGTGTTTTAAGATTACTTGCTAATAGAATTAGTTATAGGGGTATAGGCTGGTAATCCAATCGGAAACTAATTGGCTAATACTCATGAGCTTGTAATCTTATCAAATGTTACTCTTATCTTACACAGTGCCCTTTTGTTTCTTATCGATTATGTCTTTCTTCTTTAATGTTAATTCTTTTAACTAGAGTTCAGGAGATTGGTGAGACTCAAGATTTTTATTATCAACTTGGTTCAAGTACACCTCAATGACACTAAACCAAATCTACTGACCAAATCAAAGACAAGTTGCTAATAAAAATCGTGAAATGCCGTTAAGTCTACTAGTAACGGAGATGACGCCTTGAAACTCCAACTTCCCATCTCCATTCGCCACCATTCCAGAGAACAAGTGCTTGCTCAACTGCTTGTTTAACTCTCGCGCCAGTGCTGGCTGGCTGCTAGTCATGTCAACGGTTACTCCATTGGGTTTAAGGCCCGAGAGTACACCATCTGGACCGAGAAGAAGCGATCAGACATCGTTAGCATTTCCAATTATCGTGAACACAATGTCGCTCATCTCTGCTAGCTCTTTTAGGCTGTTAGCGGTGTGAGCTCCTTTGGTTTGCAGATTCTTAGACTTCCGCAGGTCACGAGCATAGACGGTGACTGAATAGCCTGCGTCGAGGATATGAGAGACCATGGCTAATCCCATTATACCGATGCCAATCCATCCGATTCTAGTCTTGGAGGGACTGATGAGTTTTGGGTTTGGAATTTCCTTTTCAGAAGGCATTGAAGAATTTGTGACAGACTACTATGGGAAATAAAATAGAAGTCAGCTCTCTAGACTGGATTATTTATTCACATATTTTATTAATCTTGGTTTTCGGTTCCTGATTTCAAAATTCAAAGGTTCTCACTTTTCAAGAACGAGAAACGTAGAAAGTGGAAAGAATCTTTTCCAATATTTTAGAGCTTGATCTGAACCTACAAACACCTAATAGAGGAATTGGT